AATCTAATAAATAAACTAAGAAAAAGGAAGAAGTTTAACTCTCTGTTTGGTTCAGTTGATTATTTTTTGAACTAAATTGAAGGGTTGCTTGAATTGTTGGACAAGTTCCTTTGTGTGGTGAGTGTGTGAGTCTATGTGTTTTCCTAGAACTTGTCTGTCAGTGCAGTCAAAACTGTGCAATGTAGACACAGCTTACAAAGTGTTCTGAGAACTGATGAGAGTCAGTGTTTTAAAATCCATGGAGTCTCAGAGGTGCTGTGTAAATATAAATTGTAATTTTACTTCTTTATTGACTTTATATTTTTTCCCTTTCCCAGGGGTCTTGAAGTGCTTTTGCAATTTACAATACCATGAAAAATAAAACACTTAGGGCTAAAACAAAAGAGTCCATCTACAGCAGTGGTCCTCAAAGTGTGATCCCCAACCATTAGTGTCAGCCTCTCCTGGAAGCTTATTAGAAGTGAACATTCTCAGCCCACCCCAGACCTAGCGAATCAGAAACGGAGTGGATCTGAAGTAGGGGTTCAGCAGTGTTTTAACAAACCCTTCAAAGGATTCTGATGCTCTCTCACCTATCTGTTCCATTTCCCTAAAGAAACAGAAAGAGAGGACATACCAAGTGCCTCAAATAAATCTTAGACTTGCAGTGAGTGCTGGACAGGATGTCCTAAGGACTTTCTATTGTGATTTAATTAATATGATGATGTTGTAAAGTTCTTTTATGTGTTTTTAATTTCTTCTTTTAATCTTTGGCAATTCGAGCACTGAGTTTCAGTCAGACAAATCTGACCAAATAGGCAATGGCGGGTGGATAAAAGTGGATCACCAAAGAGAAATGTAATTAAATCTAGCAGAATACCTAGAATCCAGAATGGTCATTCTAGTTATACTAGAATGTAACTTTACAAACAAATTGGATCAACAATGCAATGAGCTGTTTACTTGGGAATTAGCTATAACAATCCAAAGCGCTCAAATCCATTGAATGCAGGTTATTTTATTCAAGTAGCATAGAAATGCTCAAGCAGCTTTACAAGATTGAGAAAGTTGTTGCAGCCACGTAAAACAAGCCTTCAGAAGAAAGGAAAGGCATGTCTCTGTCATCCTGTCTAGGATATATTGATGGGGAGACTCACAGAGCTTCCCAGGAGCATATTTGTTAGTTATGAGCATTTCTCCTTCTACTCTAGCATGGAAGGTTCCATCGTGCATCTGCCCCAGATCATAGCTCTAAAGAAGAAATACAAGGCTTACCTCTACATGGATGAAGCTCACAGTATCGGGGCCTTGGGCCCAACCGGCCGGGGTGTCACAGAATTCTTTGGAATAGACCCTGGAGAAGTTGATGTGCTCATGGGCACATTCACCAAAAGCTTTGGAGCCTCAGGAGGTTACCTAGCTGGAAGAAAGGTAAGAGAGGGACTCCTTTTGTCTGTTTAAAATCTGAACACCCTGGAGACACAGTGTGCGGGGTTTCTCTGAATTCTGTGAAAGTTTCAGTTTAGTTTGTCACACCTTAACTGATCACGGTGGCCTAGCTACAGTGGGTTCACAGCCAGGTAAGTCTCAGAATGTCAAGGAGCTCACCCTCTAATAGGGAGGAGGAGTGTGTGAAGAGTAACCACATTATAGTAAAATGACAATGCTGGTGTATGCAAGGTACAAAGTGCAAAGGAGAGGAATAATTAATTCTGCAGCGTAGAATCTGGGACCTTTCCGAATGGATGTCAGTCTTGTAGACAAATGATGGGGGGTTATGTTTCACAAACAGGGAATAACGTATTCCAAGCCACAGAAGTGACAAGGAGATGTTACAAGAACTATAAGTAGTCTGGTTTTGGTGGTATGAAAAACATAAAGCAGGTAATAGCAACTGTGGGCAAAGGTCAGATATTAAGGAGGTGGACCCTATGCTTCAAGTTGTGGATTTCAAGAGTTTTAATCAAAATGGTGATAGGATGATGAATGTACTTTTAACATATGTTCTCCGCAAAATAACTTTTTCCCACAATGTTGGAAAGACCATAGGTCAAATCTTATCATCCTCTAATATCTTCTCTAAATGCCTTAAAAATTCTGATTTGATGGGATTAGACTGTTAAGTCAGTGTTAGCCCTCAGTATCACCAAGGGGTTTGTGAATATAAAACAGTAAATGTTTGAGAGAAATTTAAAAGCAAGAGGGAAAGGAAGGAGAAAAAGAAAATCAAATATTTAAACTTGGGTTTTAGGTATAAAGGAGCCAGTTGCCTGCTCAGTTAGAAGACAGCCTTACTAAATCCTGACGGCTGTCTCAGACAAACCCACAGCAGTCCCAGAGAGCCTGTGTGACAGTGATTTGGGCTCTGCTGCAGGCTCCACACGAGTGCGTGCAGGTGGCATCAACAAAAATCCCTGATTCCTTATCCATTGTGGGGAACAGGAACAAGGGACTTTTGGTAAACCAGTTAGACAAACCAGGGAGTGCAGCAGCAAACAGTGCTGTCATTGAAAGCCTGTGATTTAAAATAACAGATTTAATGTTGGCCACTCGCCCTGCCGTGAAACGTACAGATGCTTAAAATGTTCAGAGTTTTAAGTGGTCTTTACCCTTCAATAAGCACTTTTCTTCCGGGCTCAAAGCATTGTTTTTCATCCTCCTTCCACTGGCCTGCGGGAATTAGCTGGGTAATGCTAAAAACATAGGGAATGCCCGGGATCTTACAAAATTCAGCTAAATCTGGTGAAAGGTTAAATGTTCCCTTCCTAGACTGTCGAAGCAGTAGGGATCAGAGGGTCTCAAATTTAGGAGCTCCTTTATCCCGGCTGCATTGCTTTGTGACCTTATGGTTTTGTGATTACTTTAGCAGCAGTTCTGAGCTACAAAATTCCTAACCAAGCGTAACTCTGTTTCCTGAACTAAAGGCACCTGAATAAACTGAAGCAAGCAGGTCCTTGAAATGTTGTCAAATTTGGTGGGTGTCACATTTTTCTCCTTAGAGGTCTTTCATTTGATACCCACTTTAAACAAAGGCTCGTGACCAGCTGAAATAAGGACCAGCTCACTGTGGTTCTCTCTCGTACTCTCTGTCCTGAAGTCAGTTGGAGTATTTTGAAAGTGTAGGTGCTCTTGTCTGCATAACTTGTATGCATCTGGGCTGGATACTGAGCAATTGTGAAAATTAATGCTATTTACATTAATCAGGATGCGGAAAAAGTATGTACATCTGTTCATTTTCTTGCCCTTTAAAATGCTGATTCTGTGCATATTTGGATTCAGAGGGCTGCCTCATTCATTCTTCCTCCTCTTCTTCCCCTTTCCCCTCCGGCTCCACGCTATAGTGCAGTGTTTGAATCTATCACTAGATGGCAGCAAGAATTAGCTAGTATAGTATTTATAGTGATTGGCAGCCACCACTTAGCCTTTACTGAGATACACCTATGCTATATACCATTAGCCTATACTGAGATACGCCGCCCTAAAACAGCAAGATGCAAAACCTGAAAACACAGGGCAGTTTCCAAGACCTGGAGGGTGAACAGGAGATAGGAGAGCATTTGAGAAAGCGCATGTATGTGTCATTCCCTAATGATTTAAAAATCAGCCAGATACACTCCTAATCTGGAATGGCTTGATTGAGACCATGGTAAACTCAGATAATTTGTTTTCCCTCCAGCCTAATGAGCCCATGATTTAATGGGACTTGCTCCTCTGTAGCTTTAAATTTTAAATTATGTGTAGCTTCCATTTAAATCATATATTTTATTCCCCCGAACTTTGGGTGATTTTGTGAGGAATTTTCACTTTGTGTCTATTTAAACTATGCTTTTTAACTGAAAGGCATAGGATTGGACAAACACTAAAGATTTTTGTTTTAAAAAATCTTTGTACTTATCTGTTTAAATAATTAGGGCGTAATTTTCAGAGTTTCATTTTATATATACATGCACGTGCATGTATATATCTATGTCTATGTATATTAATATATATCCTGGATATTTTGTAGTATATATATCTCAGTTTGGGGGATTACTGCAAAATATCCAGGATTCTAAACCAATGGATACAAAAGTAACAAAATTAACCATAAAAAATGTTAAAGTGCACACACTCAGACTTGACGTTTTTCTGAAACTCTAATTTCAATTTCACTATGCCCGTGAGGTTTTAATAAATCTTGAGATTTGAAAATAATCGCTTGAGTCCAAAAATACAGCAAAAGATAAAAAAAATCTGGCTCTTAATTCTCTTTGTAAATGATGATGTTAATGTTGGTGTAGAGGGACAGTAATCCCAATAATAGTATCGAGGAGGTTCTAGAAATTTTTTGTGGAGTGGGCCAATGTCAGAGCTTTCTACATTAGCAACCAGATAATTCATACAGGAGAAAAATATTTGGAAACAAACAAGAAGGAAAAATGGGTTTGGTGTGAAGGTACTACCATAGAGAATAGAGGTTTTATTTCAGCCTTATCTTTCCCGTCACGAAAGTCCTACAGATTCACCTCTGCTAACTGGAGCTTACTGCTAGGCTATGTGGCTTTCTCTTCCCACCTCATGGAAACTGCTACAATGATCTCTCAAGAGCTGCAAGATTTTGCTATTTTGCTTACTTTGAGTTTGGAGCTGCTAGAGGTGCGCTGGGAACAGCGCAACTCAGAGGATTTTTTTTTTTGTTCAAGACCTTCCCAATGAAATGTCAGATAATTACTTCTCGCCACCTATCAGAGCTCCAGGCCATAAAAGGCTTCTTTGAAGAAAGCCTGAGCTGATGGGGCTAGGTTTCTTATTTTTATATTTAAAAATTTTCATTTATCCAGTTGCTGGGAAGCTGTGGTCAACACTGCAGACCCCAAATTTTTCTCCAGGCATGGATCTTGAGTCCTCTTGCATGCTTGATGCTAACCACTGGTTTCCACAGCCTCCAGAGGCTGAGCAGAGACTCGCAGATGAATGAAGCAAAGGTAGCCCTCTTGATTGATTGCTTGCAGAGCTGGAATTCTGGAATGGGGAAGAGGGACAGGGTAGCTGAGTTTGGGGTGAGTGTTAGCCCCAGCAGGCTGCAAGCCAGGCAAAGGCAGACCCCTCAAAAAAGCCAGCTCTGCCCTGACGCCAGACCCTGGCTATATTTAACAGCTCTTTGAAGTAAATAGGGGTCAGAGAATGAGCACCAAGATGTTTATTCTAAGAGCCTCTTGTCTGATTTCCTCTCAAAAAGCCACCCTTGCCCTTGAACTCCAGGCCTATGAGCAGAGAAAATAATCAGGGTTTTGAACTTACAAATGGACTTGGAAACCTCGGTATGAGGAGACCTCTAACCCACCCTGAAGGAAGACACAACCCAGACTCGCCTTGCAAAAGACCAAAGCCAACTCTTAATTCATGGCTCATGGTGCCCAGTCGGGGAACCAAAGTAGGGAACCAGTAGCTGTGGATTAAGGCTTTCCTTGACACTCTCCAGAAGTTGCTCAAAGAGCCCCACTTTTTGAACCACACTAAAAAATTAACTCCCATTTGCAAACTCAGGCTCTGCGAGAAAGTGGACTCAGTCCAAAAAAAATAAGATTGTGGGCAAGACAGTCTTAACATTAAAAGGGAGTGATGCTGCACTGATGAGGTATTTGTGCAAACTAAGAATGCTCATGACCTTGACTTGATAAAATTTCTCAATATGTGAAGAAAAATCAGGGGTTGGGAACACTGGGACGTGCCCTTTGAGGGATCAAAGGGAGCTTTATTTTGTCTCCTTGTCTGACCTTTTTCAGCGATGCCCCTCAAGCTAAGAGAATATTGCTACGCTTGTTCCTAAGAATGCAGCCTCGCACCTCCTATGTCTTTCCAGGACCCTCACCATCCTTCCTCAGTTTCTGAAACCCCTTTGCTCTCCTTTGGACCATCAGTATTCACCAGGGCCCTGCTAAGTACCCACCGCTGTGGATTTTTAAAGATGTGTATAACCCCATCCCTGCTGTCAAGGAGGTTCCAGTCCCTTCTGGAGAAACAAGAGAGACAGACATGAAACATCTTGAGACTGATGCAATCCAATGTGTGGTTTAGTACTCCTTTACAGACTTGAATGTATTAGTAATTCTCCCCCAACTCCTGCAAAAACAATCTCTGTGGATTAAGGAAGGCACCACTGGGTTGAAAGCACAGGTTGGTCTCTGTGCTCTCCTGGGCCCCTCGCCCCGTGCATGCCAAGCTTGCTCTTCTGTAGAGAAACCTGGAGGAGTCATACAGTGTGGGGCTAAGGGCAAGGACTCTAGGGTCAAATTCTTTAGGTCCAAATCCTTGTTCTACCACCTTTGGTGAATAATTTTCTAAACCTCTCTGTGACTTGGTTATTCCATCTTCCTAAGATGTGGACCTGCCCAAAAACAGAGAATCTCGATTCCCCAGAGCTCTTCCCAATTCACCTTCATGAAGAATGGTAGGAGAAGACACCTAAGTGGGATTCTAAACTGTGTTGTTATTCTAAAGAGAAGTCAGATGATCCTTTAAAGACCCCACTGCTAATGCAGAGAGCCATTATGAGACCACTAGCTTTTCTGCAGGACATCCTGAGAGTACCAGGCCATGAGCTGGTATAGTTGAGCCGATACATGTTCTGGACAGCCAAGGTCAAGTACATGCAAATGCCAGCTCTGAGGCCCTCCTCACCTTGGCATTAGGTTATTGGAGCTTCTTGGGGTTTTCAGCGAGCTTACCTGGGGTCTGACATTTGGCCTTAGGAGTCAGGCACGCAGGTGAAAAATTGTTCCGACCATGAAGACCAGCATTCTGTAGTGTCCCAGCACTCCAAAGAGTGTTACACAAAAATTCCAATTGTCCTCTACTACCCAAGGGATAAGCAGAGCTTATCGGGTCCTAACCCATACTCTGGTTGAATTTCCCACTAACCTCTTCTCAAATTGTCCTTTGCTGACCTCTGAACATGCTGTATCAGTTAGCTTTTGCTGTTTAACAAACTACCCCAAAATTTAGTGTCTAAAAACACTACCTATAATTTAGTTCACAATTCTGCACACCAGCAATATGGCCTGAGCTCAGCTGGGAAGTTCTTTTGGTGTTAATTGGGGTTGCTTTTGTGTGACAGTTACTGGGTCAGCTGGACATTAGTTGGCCTGGGATGGCCTCAGCTGGGATGGCACTTCTTCACTCCATATGGCTCTCATCCTCCAGCAGGCTAGCTCAGGCTTGTTCATGTGGCAGCTGGAGAGGACTCTGAGAGAGCAAAAGCACTCGAGGCCTTCTGAGACAAAGGCTCAGAACTAGCACACCATTGCCGCTGCCACATTCTATTGGTCAAAGCAAGTCCGAAGGCCAGCCCAGATTTATCTGACAGATCAATCTGTGCTGATGGAAGGAGCTGCAAAGTTGAATTGCAAAGATGCATAGGCACAGGGAATCAAAGAATTACAGCCATTTTTTGCAAACAATCTACTATACATGCCTTCTGCTTTCATACATTTGTACCCTTGTTCAACTTCTCTCCTTTACCACCTCCTCCTCTAAGTTTTCTCTTTATTTGTGTTCATTTTTTAAGGCTTAATCAATCCCATCTCCTCATTGGAACCTTCCTTATCTTCTCCGGCTAGCAGGACCCTCTCTCTTTCCTCTGCATCTTGTAGCCATATTGCTATACTAGTTTGCATGTACTGTTACCTTTCATGCCATTGCTTGTCCATGGGTACAGGCATCTGTAATATTCTCAAGGGCAAGGACCACATCCGTATTCTTTGGGCACTCCTGAACCCTAAGTCAGTGCTCACACATAGTATAATCAACAAATGCTTCAGAAGTCATTTTTCCTTTACACATCTGGTTTTGCCTTAGTGTTCAACTCCAAACTTACAGCATCCTGCTCTTGTGTAGCTTCTAGGTTTTTGAGGGAGAGATTAAGAAGAATAAAATAGAAAAAATGGATAGTTTGGTGATGCCCACTGAAAGTCAGACCATATTCACCTCTTGAGCTGTGAGAGTGAAGGTCTTTTGCTATGATGGATGGGTGTAGGACTAGATGTAATTCTCACCAACACTGAGATTTATTTGCCTTCTTTTCTGGGTTTCTTCCCTTTATTTAAGGACCTTGTGGATTATTTACGGGTTCACTCGCATAGCGCTGTTTACGGTACATCCATGAGCCCCCCGATAGCAGAGCAAATCATCAGATCAGTGAAATTGCTCATGGGACTGGATGGAACCACACAAGGTAAGAGGGTCTGCAAAGAGCACAGCTCCCAGGAACTCCTCTCCCAGACCTCCCTGTCTCCCTTCTGCCTATCTTCCCCCTTCTCAAATACACGCCTTTGTCTTATTTGTAAATCAAGCCATGTGATAAATGGTACTAAAACTGCCATTAGCATACACACACAAATCCTTTATTAAAGCAAAGAAAACTTTCTAGTTAACCTCATTGTGTTCAAATTTGGATAATTTTGTGTGATCAATCATGTTAAAATGAAACAAACACTATGTGTGTGTGTGTGTGCATGTGTGTGTGTGTGTGTGTGTGTGTTTGCCTGTGCTTGCTTGGGGCTGTCACTTGTGTTTCCCCTGAGACCAAAGTAGTCAATTTAATATTTGGTTTTTTAAATCCTTTTATTTTTTATAACCAGGGATTGGGCAGGGGATAGCCACCATTGACCATTTGAAGATATAGGGACAAAACAGACACATAATAACTTTCCAGCCATTTCTTTGCCAATGGGTCACCACAGCTAAATTGTGCTACTTTGCTCGACCCAAATGAACTTAATCTTCTTTTTGAAAAATTCATTAAAGCCTCTTCGAACTCTCCTTGTGCCTCTCAGAGATAGTTTGTAGAGCTTCTACTATGTGTCACATACTGGTGGGGACACACTAATGAACAAGGCAGTTCTTGCTGCCAGGCAAGCTAGTGAGCACATTTATGGAAGCAGCAATTCGCAGTAGCCCCCTAACTGGGACTGTACAACCCACATGCCCCACCCCACCTCCCAGCTGATATGAAGCCCTCCACTGTTTAGTGCAACCTTCCAAGTCTACTATTTCAGTAGAAGGATGGGGAAATCTGTCAGTCTTCAATGTTATTGAAGCAGCAGAATACTTTATTTACATACAAATTTTATAGAAGTCGCCTATATAAAACAGATGTGAACAAGGCTGGTATGGTTGAAGTAGTATCTTTTCCTTTTTTTTTATTTTCCTTTTTTTTATTTTGCTTTTTTTTGGTTGAAGTAGTATCTTCACATACCTCCATACTGATAGCCCCTGAGGCCCTTCTCCTGAGCCCCAGTCCTCCACAGGACGCTTGTTTGAAAGATAAAACTTTCTTTTTTGCTAAAGCAGGAAAATGGCCTGCAGGAGGACTTTTTTCCCTCCATATAAAATGCAGTGATTGGTTGATCTCTAGGGTCTCTTCCAGGCTTGACTTTTGGGTTTATGACTCTGCATCTTGTTGAATGGTCTTTGTGAGAAGGGAATGGCCACCCAGCCTAGGGAGGCCTCATGGTACAAGAGGGCACCAAAGGGAGGGTCAGCCTGGAGGTGACCCTTAACCACCTTGCTTACAGCCCACTGGCCAAAATTAGTCACATGGCCACACCCCAAAAAGTGGGGGATAAATTAAAGGATCCAGATATTGGATAAGCAGGTATCTTTCAACCTTTTAAAACTGAAGCTATATGGAGTGGCATTCATTCCTACTTGAGCTTCCAGGTTGTGTGAAAGAAACAATCTGGAACCACTGGCTTTCTACAAAGTGATACGAATTATCTTCTGGTACTTGAAGTATTTCTTAATGGAAAATCAATTATTTGAGATTTAAGAAAAAAATGCAAGTTAAGTAAATTGTCTCATAATCACCAGAATTATCTATCCTTTGGTCTTGTTTTAAAGATGAGTAATTCGGAAAGCATTATTCTGAAAATTAGCCTATGCCTCAACAAGGATTTTCACTAATTTCTTACACCCTTTAGTGTAGACATTATCAGAATCAGTTGACTTACATGTACGGAACTTTACAATCATTTCCTTCCCTCCTCCGATTGGTTTACTGCTTCATTACAGACAGAACTCACTGTTCATCTGCTCACAGTTGAAGATCTGCAGAAAGATTATATTTAAAGCTATGATAATTTGTCCTTCAATAATCATCTGTCATCAATTTTTCTCGCCCTGAGGTGGGAGATATTTCCCTTGCTTCTCTCTTAGCCTTATAATTAAAGAATTATTTGGTTATTTTTTTTTAACCTCACAGTTAAAGCTTCTTATTTACTCCTCTTGCCATTTTAAGAAAAACAAACAAAAATACTATGAGAGAATACTATGTAGATGGTCTTTTTTCTCAGAGCCAAGATAGGAGAACCAGAGAGAAATACAGGACAGTTCCTTTTTAAAGAAACGAACAAAGAAAAGTAGTAGAAAAGAAAATTGACAGAATCATCAGCCAGGTTTTAGGTGGTTGTGCCTGACACATCTTTTGAAGAATTCAAAGGGACTCAGTGAGTGATCACATTGGCCTCATTTACTACGACAATGTCTGCTTTAAATAAAATGAGCAGGACAGGTTGGGAATATTGCTTTAGCTCACCCCTTTCTGCCGAGATAGACTGACTCTCAGGGCAAAGTTGTCCAACACTCAAAGGGATGCACTGTGTCATGTGGAAGCTGCTTTACAGGATCTGAGAAAGGGGAGCCCGGCTTCAAGCCTTCATCTTCAGCCCACTCCACTGCAACTGCGATTGGAGCCTTTCAAGGCTTTGTTTCGGGTTGAGTTTGGGGAGCGGTTGGCCAGATCTGTTCCTTGATGAATGTCTTCACTTTAATCTGCAATGCAAAGCCATATGCTTCAAAGAAAGGCAAGCTACAGGAATAAGGTCAGTGTTCCTTTGATGCCAAGGTTCAAAGATGAAATAGCAGTCCCATTGAAATGACAATGTTTATGCACAAACAGCCACCTTCACTCTGCAGCCAGGCTGCTTGTGGAGTTAATGCACACAGGCTGAGGGGCTGCAGGCCGGGCGTGCATTCCATATGCACCAAGGCCCTTTTAATCTCCTGGCCTGTCACTCTGTGCAGTGCAATGAGCCCAAAGTGGAAATTTGATTTCTCCATCCTAATGGATGTTGGGTGGTCCTCTGGCCAAACCAATGCTGTAAGCCCCTTAAGGGCAAGAAATGTGTCTTGAATTAATTTGGTGTTCCTCTGAGTGTCAAACTCAGTGCTCGGCTTAATAAATATGTCATGACTCAACTTCCATCTTGCTAGCCTGCTCGATTTCAGGTCAGTGTTTATGCTAAATAAGATCGTGGGATGTTTATCTCATGGGATTGGGAGCCGGAATCAGTTCCACACCAGTTGTGGCAGCTGAAGGGATGGCCTGGTGGTTGAGATTACTTTTGGAGAGGTCCAGAAAGATTGCAGCTCAGTCATTTTCTTTACCTAGACGTGGTGCAAGCAGCCACAGGAGGGTGAGCCCCATGTCACAACAACTCCCCTAAAGAAAGCATTGTCAATAGTTGTCTTATTAGTGTTTAAATCTCTGATGTACATTTTTTCAATTAATCAGCCAACATTCTTTCTGAGCTCCCAATCTCACTCTAGCCCCTTTCTCCAACTCTGGGTAACCTTTCACTTCTCAGAGAAGATAGAGGTTGGATTGTGTGGATGATTAACGGGGTGTGCTCTGCAGCCAGACTGCGTGGGGCCCAGCGCCGGGCTGGCCACTTGTCCCATCACAGGCAAGCTGCTCGCCTCAGTCCCTTCGTTGTATACTGAGGTCGTCAGAAGGATTAAATGATGCACTGTGGATAAGGCATTTAGCATGATGCTTGATATGTGGTAATCACTCAATCAAGCTGCAATTATTTTTAACTCATCCGCTTTCTTTCCTTCCTTCTCCAAATTTTCTAATAGCTTTACCCATCCTGGAATTCTCCCCTTTCCCTCAGACCATACAGCTACCTGGTACAGTTATCAGCAAATCCTGCAGCACTTCCTTTGGCTTATGTCCAAAATCTGGCCACATCTTACGTCTCCGCCACCCTTTCCATCGCCTCTCACCTGGATTACTGGAGTAGCCTCCTGAATATTCTCCTCGCTTCTGCCCTGGCCTTTTTATGGCTTGTTTCCACAGAGAAGCCAAAATCATCTTTTAAAAAAGAAAAAGAAGAAGACATAACTCAGATCGTGTCATTCCTCCACTCGGAACTTTCCAACAGCTTCCCAGCTTCCTCGGTGTAGAGTCCAGACTGTGGCCTTCGAGCTTCTCGGGATATGGTTCCCCATGTTTCCCACACCAGTCCCCTGGCTCAGCCCACTGCAGGAAGCTGGTATCCTTGCTTTTCCTAGAACGCAGGGAGCAGCTCCTGCAGAAGGGCCGTGGCACTCGCTGCTCCCTCTAGAACTGCTCTTCTGACCAACATCTTCATGGCTTAGCCCCTCGCTCCCCTCATCTCTCTTCCCTGCCTTATTAGGGAAGCGGCTCTAATCGAAACAGAATACCCTCCTGTCGAGCTCATTCTCCCTGCCTTGCTTTAGTCTTTATGCATTTTTGAGGATCTGACAAACTATACGTGTATCTGCTAATTGTCTGTTTTCTTGCACTAGACTGTGAACTCCAGGAGAGCAAGCATTTTGCCTATTTTATTTATTAGCCTGGGAGCTGTGCCTGGCAAGCACAGGTTCTCAACAGATATTTATTAAAAGAGTGGCCCCCAGCATTTTGGGCGCCAGGGACTGGTTTTAGGGAAGATAGTTTTTCCATGGACCAGGGCTGGGGATGGTTTCAGAATGATTCAAGTGCATTATATTTATTGTGCAGTCAAACCTCTCTGCTAATGATAATCTGTGTTTGCAGCCACTGCCCAGGGCTAGCATCACCACCTCAGCTCCACCTCAGATCATCAGGCATTAGATTTTCATAAGGGGCGCACAACCTAGATCCCTCACATGTGTAGTTTACAGTAGGGTTCGAGCTCCTATGAGAATCTAATGCTGCCGCTGATCTGACAGGAGGTGGAGCTTATGCGGTGATGCAAGCGATGAGGAGCGGCTGTAAATACAGATGAAGCTTCGCTGGCTTGGCCACTGTTCACCTCCTGCTGTGCAGCTGGTTCTTAACAGGCCATAGACTAGTACTGGTCTGCAGCCTGGGAGTTGGAGACTGCAGTATTAAAAGACAGAATTCTTCTCTTTCTTTTTTAATCTCAGCAAATAAACAACTCTGAT